CAAACTGATGGCGTGGTCTAGTACTTATCCTACAAACTGATGGCGTGGTCTAGTACTTATCCTACAAACTGATCGTGTGGTCTAGTACTTATCCTACGGTACCACACTAAGGACTCCAATAGAAGTATCTGAAGTAAAAGAAACCTATAAGACTGAAAATAAGGAACCAGAAATATCAATTTATAATGAAGTCAATGACCAAGCAAAACAGGGCATAATGTAGATATGTAAAGATATGTAAGTTCCAAATGGCAAGTAGAGTTCAAGATAAAATATTGTTTAAAATACAAAAAAAAAAAAAAGAACAAATTACAGGGTAACCTCAAAGAAAATGAATACACCAGCACGTTAAAACAAGAGGAAAATCAGAAAGATTTTGTAAACATTAACAGAATGAAGATGAGAAGAAAACATACAAAATGAACTTAGCTCAGAAAATTATGTGGAACAAAGACACCAGCAGCACCACACACACAAAAAACACAGCACACAGGAAAATGGCAACATCAATTCACACTGATCAAAACCAACACTGAATGTAAATGAATTAAACGCACCAGTCAAGAGAGAGAGAGAGCAGAATGGATAAGAAAACAGGACCGTTCGTTCGATAGGCTGTCTCCATAAGGCACATCAAAAGATGGAGACAGCCTAAATGCCCAACAGAAGAATGGCTAAGCAAACTTTGGTACACACACACAATGGAACGCCTCACAATGTTGAAGAATAACGAAGAATACACCAAGCACCTCACAACATGGATGAACCTGGAGGACATATGCTGAGTGAAATCAGTCAGTCGCAAAAGGGCAACTATTGTGTGAGACCACTGTTGTAAAAAGTTAAAAGAAAAAATTGGTTTTCTTGATAAAAGCAGCAATCTATGATGGCTATAGGGAGTGGGGGAGGAAAAGTTATTCACGGGCTAGAGGGCAGACACATTTTAATATACAAGGCAATATACAAGAGGGAGGTTAGCAGAGGAAACATGAAGGTAGTGAGAGGTACAGGGAGGAGTGCCGTAAAGTTGTTGTTGTTGTGAAGTGCCGTTGAGTTGGTTCCAATCCATAGTCAGCCTATATATGGGGTTTCCGAGGAGTAGCTGGTGAGCCTGAACCATCGCTATTGCAGTTCAAACGACTTTGCAGTCCAGCTCCTTAACCCACAGCGCCACACCAGGACAGTGAATAGAGGTAAATGCTGTTAACTGCAGGTACACGGACGGTATTGCCATCGCTGTAATGAAGCAAAGTATATGATCTGTTGAATGTAAAACTGCTGATCTCTTTAAACCTTCATTCAATTCACAATAAAAAGCTTTCAATAAAGACAACTGAATAATAATAATAATAATAATAAAATCCCACCAATCCACATTGCCCGTTGGGGTTTCTCTTCTAAGTGATTTTCACTCGTAGCAACGGGGTTGTCGTTAATGGGAATGAACTTCACAGAAACTAACACACAGCAACAGCAGTATCATTCCTGATGATTTTCTGTCTTAAAAAAATTCACAGGGTTTATTTCGCCCACTGACACGAATCCAGATTTCCTTTAACTGAACTGATACAATAAAACAATGCATATGCCTCTGGATTAACATCAGATTAAGTCTCAAAGATCAACGCACATATTTATGAAAAATCAGTATACAAGGGTCCTCTTGTTCCGACATAGGATTTCCCTCAGGATACACTTTGTAGCTATACAACCAAGTAGAAAACTTTCACTTATCAATAATCCCAGTGACTGTATCTGAACTTCTCCTATGGGTTTTGCGGGACATGAAATAAGACGTAACTGGTCACTGGGGGCACTACCACACTCACTGCATTCATAGGTAATACCACATTCACAGTATTCATCAGATTTCTCTGCTGGACCGATAGTCTGTCATTTCCCGGGGGTTCACTTCTGGCAACGGGTTGTCCCACAAGGACCACGTTCCTATGTGAGAGAAACCCACTCATGTTTATTGGTGGCTGAGTTGTCACAGAAGGCATCTGCATAGTTACTATGTTAACAGGATTTTTCTCCCGTATGAGATTACTGGAATTTGATGAGCTGTGACTTGCTGGGGAAGGATAGTTTTCTAACCCTGACTGTGTACATTTTTCTTCAGTATGGATTCTTGTATGTAAAACAAGGCTATGCCTGTACGGAAACTTTTTCCCACACTCACTGCAGGCATACGTTCTCTCTCTTTTATGAGATATTTGATGTACGCTGAGCGTTGATTTCATGGGGAAGGCTTTCCCACAATCACTGCTTTGGAACGGTTCTGCTCTGGAATGAATTTTTTGATGTTCAATGAGATTTGACTTTAGGGAGTAAGATTGTCCACAGATACCGCATGCAAAGTGAGTCTCTCTTGTGTGAAATCTCTGATGTGTTACGATGTGAGACTTCTTTCTGAAGCCTTTCCCACATTCACCACAGACATAAGGTTTCTCTCCAGCGTGCGTTCGCTCATGAATAATGACACTTCCCTTCTGGTTGAAACCTTTTCCACATTCACAGCATATGTAGGGTTTCTCTCCAGTATGAATTCGCTGATGAATAACGAGATTTCCCTTGTAGATGAAGGCTTTTCCACATTCACTGCAAACATAGCGTTTGTCTCCAGCATGAATTCGCTGGTGAAGAGTGCGGTTTCGCTTCCGGTGGAAGGCTTTTCCACATTCGTTGCAGATATAGAGCTTCTCCGCGGTATGAATTCGCTGATGCATGATGTATTCTCTCTTCTGAACGAAGCAGTTACCACATTCAGTGCAAACGTAGGGCTTCTCTGTACTATGAATTCGCAAATGAATAATGAGATATTGCTTACGGATGAAGGCTTTTCCACATTCAGTGCATATGTAAGGTTTTTCTCCAGTGTGAATCCGCTGATGAATAATGAGACCTCCCTTCTGAGTGAAGCTTTTTCCACAGTCGCCACACACATAGGGTTTCTGTCCAGTATGAGTCTGCTGATGAACAATGAGATTTGCCTTCCGGATGAAGCCATTTCCGCATTCACTGCATACGTAGGGTCTCTCTCCGGTATGAATTCGCTGATGAATGATGAGATTTCTTTTATGGATGAAACCTTTGTCACATTCATTACACAGGTAGGGTTTCTCTCCAGTGTGAGTTTGTTGGTGTATGTTGAGCTGTGATTTCTGGAGAAAGGCTCTCCCACACTCCATGCATTCAAAAGGTTTTTCTCCTTTGTGAGCTCTCCGAAGATGTTCAGTGAGCTTAAACTGCCTGGAGAAGGTTTCCCCACATAGATAACATCTATGGGGTTTCTCTCCCGTATGAATGATCTGGTGACTAATAAACCAAGACTTCCGGGTGAAGGCTTTCCCACACTCATTACACACATATGGTTTCTCTAGTTTGTTCTGATACTGAATTAGTTGAGACTCAGCGCTGTTGAAGTTTTCGCTTTCGGGAAATTTGATTTCAGTATGAAACTGTCCATGGTTAGCGTCTCTATTAAACTCAAAAGAGTCCATCACTTCTTCGCTGCTGCTCAGGTTAATTAAAGCTAAATTTGATTTTATAGTTTTTTCATGTGAGTCCAATATACTATGTTTTCTTAAAGGAAAATGACTCGTTTGATGGGAAAAAATGTTTTCCCATGCACTATGGTCATGGTATTGTTCCACTCTGTTCATCCTGCCTTCATTTCGCCCAGGAGAATGATCATCAACGTTCTGGAATTCTAGGAAAAAAAAAAAAAAAGAATCTTTCCATCATATCAATTAATAATACAGGGATTAAAAACTGCTTTGATGTGAGAAGGCTCTTTAGTGAAAACCCTATGTTCTGAGTATAAACAGAATTCCAAGCTGGAACTGAACTCACCCTAAAGGCTCACTTTTCAGCCAAACAACAGGTCTCTAACGGAAATACTAACCCTCCAACAGGGGTGAATGTGAAGAAAGCTTCACTCAGAAGGGAGGAACAAACGGAAATTAGGAACTTTGGAGGACCTTACAACAGAGGGAGAGTGAACCTTGGCAAGCAGATACAGACAGAATACGAGGCAGCTTAATGTGTGGTCCAACATTCAAGGAAGGGGGGATGTCAGCGTGACCCAAGAGGGGAGGAAGGTGCCTCACTCAGAGGACAATTACTGACCATTGTTGTTGGTAACTGCTGCTGTTTCTGACTCTGTATAGTGAGTGACCCTGTATAGGGTTTCCCTGGAGCAACTGGTAAACTTGAATCTCCGTCTTGCGGTTCAAACCGGCCTTGCAGTCCAGCGCATTAACCCACAGTGCCACACGAGGACTAATGAGGAATTCAAGATTCTCTCTTTGGAGAAAGGCTAGGAAGGTGCACTTTCATAGCAGAGAGGTGAAAAGTCTGGACAAGTGAATTCTGTCATGTAGCTTTTGCCTTGGTTCTTTGGAAAAACACCTTGAGAATTTTCCCCAAAAAAACCGTGAGACGGTATTACCTTTGCCCTGCCTAGTCTTCTATCACAGAAGGTCTGTCACTTTTGTCCAGGTTGAACAACATTTCCTGGATAAGCAGTAAACTACTTGATAGTTTGACCCATTTTTATCTAGCCCTAGGCTGTGTAGCTTTGCCAGTGATAGGTTACTTCTCTGCACCTTGCTGGGAATGATCACTCAACTACAGACTATAGAAACGAGGTGATTCAAACTATGCAAATAAAGTGAATACAGAACCCTAAGGGGATTGGCCACTCTCAGAATCTCTGGGAGGACCACGACTTAAAATGGACAAGAAGTTTACTAATGGAACCGACTCCAAGGCACTAAACAACAACAACGGCCCACCTCACAGAGCTCTCAGAGAGAGAAAAGGCAAGAGAGACAGGCAGAAGCAGAGGCCGGCCGGACAAGGAAGATCATGCTTTCTACTTCAGGAGAGCATCTCAGACTTAGCCTGCTTGCCTCTACTTAGCCTACTTGATCCTGACTGTGAGCCGTAGACCGTAGACACTAATCCTACATTATACTTACTTACTTACTTAACACACGCCTTAACTGGAACTCACTGCAACGAATCATCCACCCCAGCACACAACGACACAGTGCCGTGGTGGGGAAGTGCGAGTCAGAAAAGGAAAAGACACTGTGGGGCTGGTGGTGGTTATGTGCCGTGGACTCATAGCGACCCTACATAGGGTTTCCGAGGCTGTAAATCTTTACAGGAGCAGAACGCCTCACCTTTCTCCCATGGAACAGCTGGTAGTTTCGAACTGCTGGCCTTGAGGTTCGCAGCCCGATTCGTAACCGCTACGCTACCAGAGCTCCTTTAACGACGCTGTTGAGTGAACTTATTTCTAAGTTTCACCTCTGAGCTGACTGCGAGTCTCCTCATCCTGAAATCACAGGGCTTCAGGCACTACTAGACCCTTACAAGAGGATATGAAACTGGGAAGACAGCTGCTGCAGCAAAAGTATCCAGATACTGGGCGATCAAACAGAGATCCAGGGGTTACACATGGGAAGTGGGGTGCATCCGTAGACACTGCTCACAGGTCTGAGGCCTTCTCTGACAGACTGACCTCCACAGCCACCCACCGGCTGGTTCTGCTCGCTCACCTGAATAGTCTTGACTGTGGCTGCTGTCTGGCATACTGCACGGCAGTTCTCCTCTTGCCAACCTGGAGAGGGCATCTGGCTGGGGAACTTGATATCCTGTTCATGGGTAATCAGAGGAGAGTTAGGTGCACCAAGACGGCCTAGGCTCTTATGACACTGGAGAATGGTACATACATGACAAAATTTCCATACACACACTGTAAAGGCTTTCTATCAGGAGTAGGGAAAATATCCCCACTTATCCCTCAGGCCAAAAAATCAGACTGAGAATCCGCCACTGCAGAGACCCGCAGACATTCCTCCAATGGTTTCAGAGCTGAGAAAGGAAAGGCAGTAACAGGGGAGCTGTCCTCACCCACGGACACCAGGTGGCTGTAGTTCTCCAGCATCACGTCCCGGTACAAGGCCTTCTGAGCAGGGGCCAGGAGCTCCCACTCCTCCCCGGTGAACTCCACAGCCACGTCCTCCAGTGTCAGTGAATCCTGTTACAACAGGGTCCTGGTCAGTGAAGGGCTTTCCTTTTGATGACAGGGGTGATGTCTGTTCATTTCCTCCACATACACAGCTGCGTGGATAGATCTACTGTTTCTAAAATCCTAATAAAATATTCTGTTTCTGTATTCAGTCATCCATCCATTCATTAAATTAGATGTTTCTATTAAGTGTAGCAATCAAACCACTTTAGCTAAAATATCACATTCACAGAAGCAAGAGTAGACATATCTGTACACGGATATGTGAGGGTCATTCAAAAAGTTTGTGGAAAAAAGGAATTAAGATCATGGAATTTTTCCACAAACTTCTTTTTTTTTTTTTTTTAATTAAATGTTTTTATTTTGCATTGAGTGAAAGTTTATAGGGCACATCATCAGCTTCACATTCAACCATTCATATAGCTTGTTTCATTACATTGATTATTATCCCCACCATATATCATCAGTTTACAGTGTTTCTCTCTATCCTCTTTAGCTTTTTTTTTTTTTTTTGGATGGGGGGGGGGACTTGCCTTTTTGGAATTTACAGTCTCGGCTTTTAGGGAAGGTTTTTACATTTGTCTGTGGATATCCAGGGCTCATGTATGAGATTACTAACAAGCATTACTGAATAATCAGATGAGGGACTCCACAAACTTCTTGAAGGCCGCTCGTATATATGTATGTTTATAGGCATGCAGGCACATGTGTAAGTATTTGACTACCTATTTGCAAAGACATCAATAAATACTAGTGACATCAGGAAAATTAAAAATATATTCCTACATTCAACATGGTTCTTCAGAACCAATATCAGAATCTGCAGTGAAAAGATGCCAGATGTCAGAGTTACAAGAAACTATCAGCTAAATGTTGTAGCTGTTGTGAAGAGCCGCCATTGAGTTGGTTCCAACCCATAGCAACCCTGGCACAGGGTTTCCGAGGAGCAGCCGGTGAATGTGAACCACCGACCTTGTGGCTCAAACCGACCCTACGGTAGAGGGCTTATCCTACAGCGCCACACCAGGACTCCAGAACATAAGTAAGTGTGTGTATTTGGAAAGATGTGAAAGATATTATCCAAACACTCTAGAGAACCAGATACAAGATGCTTAGGCAGATCTGGAAAAAATAAATAAATTGCACGCACAAAAAGTTATACACGTGTGGGTGTATATGAACTGACAACCTAACAGCATAGTAAATACAGTAAGATGGTTTACCAATAGGAATGTACAGTTGAAAACAGTATGCAATATACGTAGTAGCAAAAGGAGAGAGACTATATAGGAGACTTTAGTAAAGACACAGAGACTAGGAATGTCTAACCTATGGCAATCCCTGACTCCACAAGAGCAAAGTCATGGTGAAGGTCTACTGAAACACAGAGCTCTGCACTGGGAAGTCATGTCTCTTCGAAATTCCTGTGGGAGAAGGTGTATTTTAAGTAACCCTGGGTTCACAGTCACACGACTGTACGGTCCCTTCTCCTTGAGCATGGTCTCCACTGTGCCTCATTTCTAACAGAAAATGCAAAAGCAACAGAATGCTATTCCGTGATTAGATTAGATACTAGCTAGGTTACTGCCATCTTGTTGGCTTTAATGAGGCAAGTTGTCGTGTTTGGGAGGACCACATGGCAAGCTCCTGGGGGATGCCTCTGATCAAACACAGTGAGGCTCTGAGGTCTTCATGGAACTGAACCCTGCCCACAGCCAAGTAAGAAATTTAGTGCTTATCCTATGAACTTGACATATTCCTAGTCCTGTGTTGCCAGATGTTGAAGTAAGACTCTAAGTGAATTTTTCTCCAGTTCTTACATTTCTAAAGGCATACTTCGCAGATGAATTAACTGAGCGTTTACAGACCGCTACAAGTCTAACACGGAACAAAGGAAAACATGAACCAAAGTCACCTGGGTCTGAAGCATTTTGTTGTTGTTGTACTTGGGACACAGGCAGAAACTGGGATCCTGTCTTTGTGTTTTCTCGATCAGCTCTAATTTCTGTTCAGAAATCGCATTCTCTGTTGAAAGGCATCCCCAGAAATGAGAACAGGCAAACACTGTGGCCTCTTTCTTCTTCCCACAGGTGAGTCTCTCGGTGCCGCAGAGTCACGACCTGGAGGCTGAAGGGAAACTCCAAGTTAGTGGGATATACGCTCCGGGTCTAGCTGCTGTCACTGCTTCGGATCTTCTTCTTAACACAAATCCTCCAGTACTTTGTAACTGTTTTAAAACATTTTACACCCCTGGGCAGAAAAACCTAAGATTCAAAGTGTGCTGGTGGTGTGCTGTGGAGTCAGTTCCGATTCAGTGACCCTGTATAGGGTTTCGGAGGCTGTAAATCTTTACGGGAGCAGAAAGTCTCATCTTTCTCCTGAAAAACGGCTAACAGTTTTGAACCGCTGACCTTGTGGTTAGCAGCCTGACTTGTAACTAAATCAGACAATCAGATATGCATGGAAAAAAAAGAAAAAAAAAAAAAAGGTTTTATTCCTTCCTCACAACGTTTAAAACTATCAATTCAAGCCCAACACTGACTTTCCATGAGGATGGCAAATTGTCAAGGTTGTAAGAACATAAGTGTGCGTTCCCCAAACCATTGTCATCAAGTAGCTTTCCACTCACAGCGACTCCATACACGGCTTCCAAGACTGTAAATAGGACTTCCAAGTGTAAATGTTTACGGTAGCAGCTGCCTCTTTTTCTGGTGGGTTTCAATGGCCCACCTTGCAGCTAGCATTCCAATGCCTCATCAATGGCACCACCACATTTAGTAGGGTATGAAGATGCCAGTGTAAGTAAAAATGTATTGTTTCTATGGTCCCAGTTTATACATACATGGTTTTATTCTAAACAAAACATATTTACACATGGCTCTCTGATCAGGGAATGGCTTCAGACAAGTTCTCTCAGTTTGCTGCTGTTGTTGTTGTTAAGTGCCATTGAGTCAGTTCCAACCCACAGCGACCCTGTAGAGGGTTTCCTAGGAGCGGCTGGTGAGCTTGAACCACCGGCTTTGTGGTTCAAACAACTTTGCAGTCCAGACAATTAACCCACAGCGCCACCCCAGGACTCCTGTCTCATTGTTGCTGTGATTGTTAAGTGCCATCATTGGTTCCGACCCATTGAGACCCTGTATAGGGTTTCCTAGGAGCAGTTGGTGAGCTTGAACCACTCACCTTGCAGTTCAAACGGCTTTGCAGTCTGGCGCGTTAATCCACGGTGCCACCCCGCTAGTCTCATTAGGGTACCTTAAAACAACAACAACAAAAAGGATATTTTTTGTGCCACGGATAAAAACGATTTTGAGGGAGAGGAAGGTGGAGCACAGGGCAGGGAATAGACATAGGATAGTTTGGGTGCTGGGGAGGGGGGCAATACACAAGAAGGGAGAGGGGAATAGAAGAACAAGGCAGATGGGAGACCAATTAGACAGGTTTGCATGGGCTAAGTGGGACAGAGGTAAATAATGATGTACGCACAACCTTGGAACAACAGGGCCCTGGGATACAGGGATTGAGACATGGTTGGAATGGGGAAAACAGGGCAAATAATGTTAAGATGCTTGGCTGTCTTATGAATCTTGGTTTCCCTGGCATAGCATTATAATAAAATAGATGCTTGAGGGGGAGAAAAAGGAATAGCCAGAAATATCACCATAGAAAGCTTGTAAGACCATCTTCTGCCTATAACTGACTGGAATACCTAAAATGGGGCTACAACATGCCCAGAGAAGGAGGCTTCCTGCAGAGCTTCTACATTACATAAGACCATAGGTGGAATCCTGAACACCATCCAAAATCTTCAGAGGTAGGAAATTTCCACTTGAAAGGGCAAGCAGACCAGCCTGGAGCAGGCAGAAGAACAGAAGATACTTCTTGAAAGAATGATAGGCAGACCTACTGATTACTACAAGAAAAAGCAAGTTGTTCACCCAGAAGACATCAAGGCAAGTGGTCGGGTCCCCTAAGAGCAAACCCCCTTCCAAGACTAAGACTCAATGGGAATACACGCTCTGATTGATGACCATGTTCATCACCGATAAGAGGATGGGAGGGAAAAACAGCAATGAAGCTGTGAGCCAAACCCTACAACGTTCAGAAGACTCCTGTGAACCCAGGTGGAGACCTGGTTGGCCAGCAGTGTGGCAAGACAAGGAGACTCTTGGACAAAGAGTGTGACATAGCCACAGAGGACTAGAGTGGAGAGTGAAGCATCCAGATGATAAGAAGAGAGGACATATGCACAAGAACACCCACACTTGCAGATAATACCCACTTGACCTGGCTTCAATGACTGGATGATCAGAGCTCAACTAGAAGAAGAAAGAAGAGGAAAAAAAGAGTAATCTGATACAATTTGATTAACTTGACCTACACCTATGGATGCAGTAGCTCAAAACAGGGACAAATCTTTACAGCGAGGATCATTCCTACCCCCTCTATACACAGAGTAGACAGGGATGGGCAACTTGGACATTGGCTACCCAAAATGGGGGGTGGGGTGGGGGCGGGGCTACAAAGGCAAGAAGTGACTGGCTTACAAGCTTTCAAGAGGAAGCCTAGATCCAGAGGGCACAGAGGAAGGAAGAATTTCCACTGAGTAGTATCCAATTTGTCTGGGCGGGGCTGATAAAAGGAGATGTGGACAGGTCTCTTGTGATACAAGAATTGTTATCAGGACTGATTGTGAGGGTTAGAAATGTAAAGGTAGATGTTTTGTAGCAAGGAGGGGAGTGATTAACTTTTCAGTCTAGGAGCAGAGGTCCCTGGGAGCATCAAGGGAGAAGAGTGGAGTGTGGGACCCTACCCAGAGAAACAGTGACACCAGAGATGGAGGCAGAGACGATGACGTGGAGAGATGGAGGGGCTGGGGACTCTAGACCCAGAGAGGGAGAGGGGCTGTGTGCTGAAGACCAGGGGACAGACTTGCAGGGTATATACACTTTGGTTAGATGATGATGCATGCAGGGGATTGTAACCATGGCAATGAAACGACATATGATAGGATGAATGTAAAGCTAATTAATGTTCTCTCATGTACACTATCACATAATTCAAAATAAAACATTTTTTAAAAAACCGATTTTGAGGTCAGAACTAGACTAATATTAAATTTTTTAAAAAACTAAGGGGACATCTTCCCAAGTCACTGTGTCTTACCACCAACAAGTAATGGAAATGCTGCCCCACACAAAACACCAGTTTTTAGGTGAGTCAAGCATTTCAAGGAAGGTTGGGAAGACCTCAGAGATGAGCCCAATGAGGGAAGACCAATAATCTTGATGAATGGAAACTGTGGCTGAAGTCGCAAAACTGCCAGAAGAAAACTATGGTTACCATGGGTGTAAAAGTTGCTGAAGTGGGCAGTCTCACAAGGTTCAGCGTTTTCCACTGACAGCGAATATGTTGACATCAGCAGCAAGCATTCAGCTAGAAGGATGCAGCTGGTGAGTTTGAAATGCCAACCTTGTGGCTCCAACTGACCTTATAGTCCAGCGCACTAACCCACAGTGCCACACCAGGACTGGAAGGTGCTAAAAATATGACTGAGGAAGAGCTGCCTCTAAAAAGTACAGCTGACCCTAATGACACACATGGACATTCATTTTGAGACCTTCATTTGCTGATGGGGCACAACTCAAAATGAAAGAAACAACTGTAAACACCCGTGAATAATCGGAACACAGAATGTATGAACTATGAATCTAGGAAAATAGGGAGTTGTCAAAAATAAAATGAAGCTCATAAAGATCAATATCCTAGGAATTAGTAAGCTGAAATGGGTTAACAGTCACTGGCCATTCTGAATTTGACAATCCTACAGTTTGGGAGCTCTGGTAGCGTAGTGGTTACGAACCGGGCTGCGAACTGCAAGGTCAGCAGTTCGAAACTATCAGCTGCTCCACGGGAGAAAGAGGAGGCGTTCTGCTCCTGTAAAGATTAACCGCCTTGGAAACCCTGTGCAGGGTCGCTATGAGTCGGAACCGACTCCACGGCACATCCCAACAACAACATAGTTTACTACTCCACCGTACATAAGAACAGCAACTTTTACTATGCGGGGAATGAGACTGAAGCAAAATGATATCTCATTCATCATCAAAAACAGCATTTCAACATCTGCCCTGAAATACAAAGCTCTCTGTGATTGGATACCACCCATATACCTAGGAGTTGTGCTGTGCCCTGTAGGATACACACTGGACTGCTAACAGCAAGGTTGGCAGTTCAAATCCACCAGCCACTCCTTGGAAACCTTACACAGGGTTGCTATGAGTCAGAACTGATTCAATAGCACTTAACAACAAGAAGAAAAACGATTTTTCAAATCTATGCACCAACCAATGATAAAGAAATTAAAGAATGCTACCAGCTGCTCCTTGGAAACCCTATACAGGGTCACTATGAGTCGGAACTGACTCTATAGCATTAACAACAACAATGAACTTCTTCAGTCAAACAATCAAGATGCCCTGGTAATTACTGGTGATTTGGGCCTGAGAGTTAGAAACAAGAAGAGGGATCTGAAGAAGGAAGAGGTAAAAAAGGAGTAATCTGATTCAATTAGATGAATTTGACCTACACCTATGGATGCAGTAGCTCAAAAAAGCAAACAAACCTTTACAGCGGTAATCATTCCCACCCCCTTCATACACAGAGTAGACAGGGATGGGCAACTTGGACACTGACTACCCAAAATGTGGGGGAGGAGAGGCTATAAAGGCAAAAAGTGACTGGCTTACAAGCTTTCAAGAGGGAACCCTAGATGCAGAGGGTGCAGAGGAAGGCAGAATCTCCACTGAGTAGTATCTAATCTGTCTGGGCTGATGAAAGGAGATGGAGATAGTCCCTTGTACAATAGTGAATAATTATTATCAGGACTGATTGTGAGGGTTGGAAATGTAAAGGTAGACATTTTGTAGC